TCTCGTCATCCGTTCAATCCCTACCTGTATCCCAGTATCGTTCGGTTATCTTATGTTCCTCAATATTCGCACTAACCTCTTGTTTCCTTTCTGACCTGTGGCCTTCTTAAGCCCTGCCTCTTACACATCATCATCGTCATCTTCATCATCCTTTTTGTGCCGTTATACGTCACATAGAGCTCAAATTCGATTCCTCGACTCTGCTCTCTTGCCTGCAACTCTCACGATTTTTCTCAATGAGTTCAGCCCAACATTTTTAGTTTCTTGTAATAATGTTCGTTCTTCTTAATATTTCCCTTGGACGTTCTATTTTTCTCAGACATTTTGTTTCCTGTTTTAGTGCCTGTTTTATAATTATTTGCTCATTTCGTGTCAGTGTGTGCCCAGCATATCTTCACCTTCTTTGTTTTATTGCATTCGATACAGGTGTTAATCTAGACATTTTTCTGATTTGTTAACCTTTTTGTAAGTTCATCCAATTTTATGTTCAGGATTTTTTTTTCAGACTTTTATTTTTAAAATGCATTAAACTTTCGTTGCTTACATCTGGAAGTTCTTCAACTTATGCTGGCATGTTTTAGAAATAACATTATAAATGAAAATTCATAGTTTAGTCTTTAAAGCTGTTTAACTTGAAGCTCCAAAGTTTGTTAAAGCTGTAAATGCTGTTGTTGGTTTTCGTAGTGTGTATCTTAATTTTCTTCGTTGTATTTCATTGGGAGTCAGAATTGTTACCCAAAAAAAGTGAAATGGTCCGTTACTTTGCATATGCCTCTTAAATGTAATTTGTGCTAACGATATGTGTATAATAAAATTATCTAAACAAAGTATGCCATTACATCTCACATGGCACGGAAAAGCATTTATGATGTCTGAAAAGAAGTAGACTAACAGTAAATCATAGAGTCCGAAAGAAAATATTCTGGGCAGTTTAACAACATGGCATGGACGATCATCTGTGTCAAAATTGATTGAAAGTACACGAGATAGATTGAGAGAAGAGAGATAGAGGGAGGCCGAAAGAGAATATGCTGGGCAGTTGGACATTATGGCATGGAAGATCATCTGTGTCAAAATTGATTGAAAGTACACGAGATAGATTGAGAGAAGAGAGACAGAGGGAGGCCGAAAGAGAATATGCTGGGCAGTTGGACATCATGGCATGGAAGATCATCTGTGTCAAAACTGATTGAAAGTACACGAGATAGATTGAGCGAAGAGAGACAGAGGGAGGCCGAAAGAGAATATGCTGGGCAGTTGGACATCATGGCATGGAAGATCATCTGTGTCAAAACTGATTGAAAGTACACGAGATAGATTGAGCGAAGAGAGACAGAGGGAGGCCGAAAGAGAATATGCTGGGCAGTTGGACATCATGGCATGGACGATCATCTGTGTCAAAATTGATTGAAAGTACACGAGATAGATTGAGAGAAGAGAGACAGAGGGAGGCCGAAAGAGAATATGCTGGGCAGTTGAACATCATGGCATGGAAGATCATCTGTGTCAAAACTGATTGAAAGTACACGAGATAGATTGAGCGAAGAGAGACAGAGGGAGGCCGAAAGAGAATATGCTGGGCAGTTGGACATCATGGCATGGACGATCATCTGTGTCAAAATTGATTGAAAGTACACGAGATAGATTGAGAGAAGAGAGACAGAGGGAGGCCGAAAGAGAATATGCTGGGCAGTTGGACATCATGGCATGGAAGATCATCTGTGTCAAAACTGATTGAAAGTACACGAGACAGAAGGTTGGGGATCGACATGTCTACTATCACCACACGGAATGGACTAGAAGAGTCATTTCTGGTGTAAAGTTTCAGCGACTGAAAAAATTATGCTGAATATGGCTCATAGCTGTGCTGGGCTAATCAATCAAGCAGGTACCCTCTCCACAATGAAGGTTGGCAGCAGTGGATCTCCAGCCCCTCATCTCTCACTCTTGTAGTGCACCCTGACCGACTGCTGTATATGTTTGTTCATCTATTAATATTATATTCTCAAATGTATCGTTGTCTCCCTCTTGCTTGACTGCTTTAAACGTTTCCATCTAGTGTGGTGCTTGACTGCTTTAAACGTTTCCATCTAGTGTGGTGATTTACGGTTTATGTTTTGTAAGCTGATATCAGCTCACGAGCAGCGTGTACTCACAGTTTTATCTGTCCTTTAGCTGCTGTATTTTCATATAAACACAACACACTTTTATATAAAAATACAATTGTTGTGTGAATATGAGTATTTCAAAGGGCTGGATGTTAAGACATGCCTGCGTGCCATTTTGTGACCCTTTAACAATTCATTTTGTTTGTTCATTTGGTTTTTCGTTCCTTCCAACACCTCTATTTTATGTTTGTTTTCATGAAATACAAACCTGCTCTTCTGCACTCCACATCTCCTGGGATTTAATTCGGCTTTCTAATTGCTTGTTCATTGTGCAGGTTTCTGTGTTTATTATGGCAGCCTTATAGTTGCTGCTGTGTGCCAGGAGAGAGCTGTTCCTGGGGAGGGGATGAACGATCACTTGCTGAGGTCCTTGCCATCTAGTGTACCGTTTTAGAAAACAAAACTTGAGCCTTAGGGAGGTTCAAACACTCAATCACGTGATGTGTGATGGGGAACATGTTGACTCCAGCAATCGAGTCTTCTCATATGTTGCGTCGTTTGCTTCACGAGGGCATTTTTGCGGAGATAGTTAGCGACCTTGCCGAGGAGCTATGGAGTTCATGTTGTGTGTGATGCTCTAGGCAGGCGGCTAGATTTTCTGAGGAAGATATCGAGGCATAAGGGATAAGACTCGGTGCAGTCAAGTCGATCCTGTCACCTTTAATCTTTTTCAAGTCCTCAGCTAGCTCTATCCATGCCTGTAAAACTTGTTGACCTGTGAACTTGTTGATATTTAGTTAGATTGTCCAGCTGCAGTTTTTTATTTGATTAGGTAATCCTGGCTCACGCAGTTCCTCTGGAATCACCTTTCGCAGTATGCACAGAAGGTGTCACTGTTACTCTTGGTTGCTACATAATCTTTTTATATGTTCGTCTTTAAAGGGCAGTTAGCACATTGTTTTGTGGTTTACAGCTAGATTATGATATCCATGCCTTTCGCCCTAACATCCAGTATCAGGAAAACCCTAATAAGTCGCCTTTTACGATATGCTTGTTAATAAACCACTAGGTCTCACCCCCCCACCCCGCCTCCCACACACACGCCCACTTGGGACCAAGAATCAACACAGGGAGCATTTTTAATTGTAAAAGAGGTAGCCCTTACCACAACCCCTCCCCTCTCCCTAGTCAGCTTCTGTAACGTGTTAGGAAAGTTATTGTTATCCTCTTCTGCTGCCCATATAATCCACTTTTAATGCCTACGCATACTTCACACACACCCAACTGCTGAGTGAAGTGCATGGCGCAACACTGTGAGCTGCATATTTCATAACAATGATTTTTGACTGTGCACACCGTGAATATATATATATATATATATATATATATATATATTCTTATGCAATATATCTGTAGCATTGAAGGTTAGAAAAATAATATTTGCTTGCTTATTACATCCAGTTTTGACATATGACTGTGAGTCCTGGACAGTAAGGCAGGGAAAAAAAAATTCTTGAGGCCTCAGAGATGTGGTTTTACAGAAGAATGCTTAAAATACACTGGACAGCCAAAAAAGAGCAACCAAGAGGTTTTGAAAGAGGTGGGAGCTGGAAGACAACTTATCACAAACATCAGAAGGAGGCAGTCATCATTTTTCAGCCATGTTATGAGAAGAGGGAAAAATGGAACATGTTGTGACCACTGGAAATATCTGTGGAAGCAGGAACAGAGGAAGACAACGCGAGAAGATTCTTGACAGTCTTGTTGCCCTTCATGGGAGTGTGGCAGCACACGAACTGATACATGCTGCAGGAGATCGCTAATTGTGGAGAGATGTGATCACCCACTCCAGTCGGCAAGACTCCTGATAATGATGATGTGGTTTTCGTTTTTACAGGAATAAAGCAGATATGGGATGACCCGTTTGTTTCAAAGTTGGAACTGCAATTATCTTTACCATTGCTATTACCATTAAAAAATATAAGTGTTCTCTGAGTCAAAATTTTGAGAGTATTCATCTTTTCTATAGCAACATACGGTTGTGAGTCCTGGGCTTTTCTTGGTCAGTGATATTCTAAGAAGCACATAATGTTTCTTTTGAAATGCTATAGAAAGATTCTAAGAATGTCATTAACCAAAAAGAACATAAATAATAACATCCTGAAAGATCTGAATGTCAAAGAAAATTGACTTCTAAACAGTATCATATTTAGAAATCTGAAATATTTTGGTTATATTAAAAACGATAATGGATTGGAAAGACCTGGAGGAAAGGGGAGGGGAGGGCAAGCTGCAAGGTAAGAGGGACAGGATTGTTTGTTTCTGGCAGGGTGTGTTGTAAGCAGAAACTTTCTGTAAAGGACCAGCTACATGCTGATGATAAACACACCACCCAAAGGAAAAAAATAATTCCCATAGTTATTGCAGCCATTGAATTGTGACATTTAGTCCTTCACAAAGTCAAAGCCACAACAATTAAAGAATGGCGACCAGTTCTTTCCTTGCTACATTTCCTTACCGAGTCAGTCCACGGATCATTCTGAAGATTATCCTATTTCCATTTTTGCTAACCGGGTTGACCCCAGAACCGTAGGGGCTGCTGCAAAATTCTGCCATTTCTAAGGAATTAACCCAGACTGGGGATAAGCAGCTGGTCAAACTGGTAGAACTTTGGGCTGTCATGTGGGAGACCCAAGTTTTATTCCTAGGTACGTTGACTGAGGTCTTTTACTGTCAGGTCCCCCTTTCTTGTATTAAACTAAAAAGTAGTACATTCAGGCAGCAATGAGTTTAAACCCAGACCACTGTCGCATCAGGCAAGTACACTAACTACTATACCACTGCTGCTTCTTCATAAAGTAATGGGAAAAAATTTATCTTCTTGTTCTTCAGGTTGGTTTCGAGCTATTTTACCAAAGTCTGCTCTGAGAGTGGAAGAAGAAGCCTGGAATGCCTACCCGTACACCAAAACCAGGTACAAGTGTCCCTTCATTGAGAAGTTTCTACTGGAGGTGGAGACCAAGTACCACAATGACCCAGGGGATGATGATGGTGTCTTCAGCTTATCTAAAAGTGAAAAGGCTCAAAGAACTGTTGGTATGATGATAGTTGATGGGTGTTTACTTTGTATTGTATGTGTGCATGCATGCATGTTTGCACACACACACATACGCACACACACACACATACACACACACAAACAAACAAACATGCATGCATGCTTGTACACACACCTACACACAAACATGCACCCACACACACACACACACACACACTGGAATATATATAAATAAAACTCATGCCATTTATATATATATACATACATAATACACATACACAAAGACACACAAGCACACACATGCATACATACTCACATACATACATACAAATGTACATACATACATACAGACACACTTACACACACACGCATATATATATATATCCTATAAACATACATGCACACAGACCTTCACACACTTATACACACACATAACAGAATGATGACCATTGTTGTTCACCCAGGCTAAAGGCTAAAATTGTACCCTAACCAGCATTGTCTAGACTTGTTAAAGTCTACAATTGGTACCCTATGACTGCTGTATTGTTCAGCCTAAAATTAGCACTGTATGACTACCATTATACCCAGCCCTAAGCCTCAAAATGGGCCCTATTGTTTACCATGATTAAAGCCTAAAATTGGTGCTGTGTAAACGCCATGCCTAGGTTTAAGCCTACAATTCTTGCTCTCTAACCATCATTTCAATTTTAACATATGCATGTGAAAGTTTGAGAACTACTAAAAACATGGAACAAAAGTTAAGTGCATTCAAAAACAAATGCCAAGGGTGAATGATGAAAATAAAAAGGGATGAATTTAAAAGCAGTAAAGAAATAAGAGAAATATCTGGGCAACCACTAGTATTAACAGTTATAAATCAGAGAAAATCGTGTTACATTGGACGCATCCTGAGCAGAAACCAGCAGAGAATTGACTGTTTGATTGATTAATGTTCAACTCCACCGGGGCATCACACCCGATGACACAAAGTGCCACCATATGGTTGATGATCACCCGGGGACAGGTCCCAGAAGCCCCTTTCAACCCATAGGTTGGGTTATATTAGGGCCCCAGATCACAGCGGGGGTGGGGCTTCAAAATTTAAAAAAAACGTTATGTCACATGTGGGGACGGATGATTATTTACATCTACGAACAAGCAGAGAATTAGCAAACAGGCAATAAAATGGGTAACAGGGGGATTAAGGAATCGAGGATGCTCAAGAGCAACCCTAAAACGAACGTGGATCAGAGAGGCCAAAGCTGCTGGACTGGATTTCATTCATGATATTAAACAAATTGCAGTCTAGGCCCTTTGAGAGCAAGTTGACTTCGCAGGTGCATGAATAGATCATTATTTGGTCTGGAGAGAATGGTACAGCTGGGAGTGACAAGGGGATCCAGTTGACAACCAACACTTAAATGAAAGGCAAGACGGACATATAATCAAACTGATACTGGTGCCATTGTAATTGTAACTCTTTTCTGACTGCTGAAGATGAGGATGGTGTATATATGGGAATATCCTGAGTGATATGTAATTTCTTAACTCAACACATTACACTGTTTTTTTTTATTATTTAGTTTGTCTATATAATATTTTGTAGCAGCATACGGATGTGAGTCGTGGACTATTTCCCAGTCTTAAGAAAGAAAATTGTGGCTTTTGAACTGAAATGCTACATTCTCAGAATATCATGGACAAAGAAGAGAAGAAATACATTCTAAAATATCTGAACATTAAGAAAGATTGGCTCATAAACAGAAGCTGAAATATTTTGGTCATATCAAACACCATGGCAGACTGGAAAAAATAAAAGCAGAAGGCAGGGTACCAGGAAGGAGTGGTTGAACAATGATGCTTGCACGAGGATGGGAAGGTCAGGGGTTCGCTTCCTGGTGGAGCTGGACTTTTTTCAAAAATGACCTTGACTCCCAGGTTGACCCAGCCTTGAGTGGGTACCGGGTGCAGTCTCAGGAAGTAAAGGCGGCTGGTGTGATGCTGACCACATCACCCCTCTTGTGCCAATTGGTCTATAAGAATATAGTTGTAGCCCTATATGCCCTATACGCCTAGAGGCATGGAAAATGGGACCTTTACTTTACTTACTTCTTGCTGTTCTGCTGATAAGGAATGATTGCCACAATATAATGTGTCTGTTGTGATTAGACCTGTACCTATGACTTATACTTGGTGGTTTTTCCCAAAATTGTCTAGTGATAAACTTGATTATTTTATATGGTTTTGTGAAAGCATTTTTCATACACATACTCCATGTGTCTCCATTTCATCAGATTATATAGACATAGTAAAAGACAGCGTGACTGGGGGAGACTACAACAAAGATGAAGACCCCAAATTGTATAAGTCCAAGAAAACTGGAAGAGGTCCCCTGACCGAGGAATGGAGGCAGGAATATGCCGAAGCTTTGCGTTCTGGCAGCCCTGATGGCAAGGAGATGATGACAGCCTACAAGTTGTGCAGGGTGGAGTTCAAGTACTGGGGCATGCAGAACAAAATTGAGAGGTTCATTCATGATATTGGTGAGTTGACAGTCAGTTGTCCACTGTCTGACAGTTGTGTGCTGTCTGACAGTTGGGAAAGTCAGTCATGTGCTATCTGGCGGTTGTGAAAGTCAGTTGTATGCATTTGTGAAAGTCAGTCGTGCGCTGCCTGACAATCGTGAAAGCCAGTCATGTGCTGTCTGACGTTTGTGAAAGTCAGTCTTGTGCTGTCTGACAGTTGTAAAAGTCAATCGTGTGCTATCTGACAGTTGTAAAAGTCAATTGTGTGCTGTCTGACAGTTGTGAAAATCAGTCCTGTACTGTCTGACTGACAGTTGTGGACAGATTTCTGCATGACAGCAAAGGGGTAATTCATATGTTTCTTCTTCTTGTCCATGTCCACCTCCTTGTTTCTTGTCCTCATGTGTGGATGTGTTTTAAGGTTGGTATGTGTGGATGTTTATGTATGAATGCATTTGTGTGCATGAGTGTATGTATGATATGAGTGTGTGGGTGTTTGTGTGAATGTATATCTGTGTATGCATGCATGAGAGTTCATGTGTGTCTGGATGTGTGCTTGTGTATGTATGGGTGCAAGTGTGTATAAGGTAATTATGTATGTTTGTGTGTGTGTGTATATATATATATATAAAAACTTGAGTGTATGTTTCTGTATACATGAGTATGGGTGCTTGTTTTTTTATGTATGTGCACAATTGCAATTATGTATGTGTGCATGTGTGCGTCCTTGGGTGTGTGTGTATATGTGAAACCCTTTGAAAATAAAGTTTGTTCATTTGTTGTTTATTCCTCTTTCTTTACCTCCCCTCTGCCTGTTCAACCTTCAGACATTATCCTGACTAATTTTAAACTAAACAGCAGTCACATACATGTTGACCAGCCTAGAGAGCCTGTCCTCAAATGAAGTGGGTGTAGTCTAGAATAATATTGCATCATTCTATGCATATTTAGCACACTTGCACAATAAGAGTGGCTGTGTCCAGTATGGGAACTGAAAAATACTCCGTGTTTTCTTGTTGGTGTGCATCGTCGGTGGCCTGTCATTACAGAGGAGAATGGCACTAGGAAAAGTTACCAGGGGATCTGTGGCCTGATGGCGGAAATGTCATTACTGTCATTACAGAGGAGAATGGCACTAGGAAAAGTTACCAGGGGATCTGTGGCCTGATGGCGGAAATGTCATTACTGTCATTACAGAGGAGAATGGCACTAGGAAAAGTTACCAGGGGATCAGTGGCCTGATGGCGGAAATGTCATTACTGTCATTACAGAGGAGAATGGCACTAGGAAAAGTTACCAGGGGATCTGTGGCCTGATGGCGGAAATGTCATTGTCATTACAGAGGAGAATGGCACTAGGAAAAGTTACCAGGGGATCAGTGGCCTGATGGCGGAAATGTCATTACTGTCATTACAGAGGAGAATGGCACTAGGAAAAGTTACCAGGGGATCAGTGGCCTGATGGCAGTAATGTCATTACTGTCATTACAGAGGAGAATGGCACTAGGAAAAGTTACCAGGGGATCTGTGGCCTGATGGCGGTAATGTCATTACTGTCATTACAGAGGAGAACGGCACTAGGAAAAGTTACCAAGGGATCGGTGGCCTGATGGCGGTAATGTCATTACTGTCATTACAGAGGAGAATGACACTAGGAAAAGTTACCAGGGGATCGGTGGCCTGATGGCGGTAATGTCATTAATGTCATTACAGAGGAGAATGGCACTAGGAAAAGTTACCAGGGGATCTGGCCAACATTCAACTCGCTAGGGGAAAGTCGAGGCAGATATACAATCAGACAATCACTGGTGCCATCAGAGTTGGAACTTTTCAGTGGGTCTTGCCAGTCACAGTCGCCATTGCAGTGAGCTGGAATACCAATGCCTCCCCATAGAATTATATAGCACTTTTGGCATCTGTAGCTTAGGGGTTGTGAATGCGCTTCGTAATGCCGGGGTGCTTCGCCTTGCGGCTTGAGTTAGTTTTGACAGTGGTATCGAGAAGCCAACCGTCCAGAAAGCAATGGCCAACTATTGGACGTAAATTTGCCTAGAAAAGCCACAACGTCCTTTAAAGGATATGCAACTAACTTAGTCTGGAAAGACTGAAAAGTAGCACAAAGTCATATGTGTTGTTTTTGCAAGTTATTTGTTTTGATGTTGCTTGTTATTTTGTAATTTTTTTTTATCGTGTGTAAAGCTTTTTTCGTTTCCTTTTTTCTTGACAGCTCTAAGGAAGACAATGCTACGAGCTCACAGACAAGCCTGGTGTTGGCAGGACGAATATTATGGGCTAACACTGGAGGATATTCGAGAGTTAGAGCGTGAAACCCAGCTGGCACTGGCTGAGAAAATGGCAGCCGCCAAAATTGAAGAAGGAGGCGAGGGCATGGCCCAGGCTGCATCTGATGAAGACAGTAACAGCAACACATCTTGCATGTCGGAGAGACAGTCTGGGCAATCCAAAGTGGATAAACCTAAATCTTCAGTTCATTTCTCAGAGACCACAGTCTCAGATTCGCCCACATCGGACTCGTATGGAAAGGATTTTATACCCAGGAGTGCCTCACAGGAGAGTACTGCTAGCACTGTTGTGAATGGCAATTTGGGGGCGGCATCTTCGTCGTCACATCAGAGACAGTCACAAGGATCCAGGGGCAGATCATCTGGGGGTAAGTTGATACTACTCAGTTGTCTGCTGGTAGGCGTCAAGCCATCACTACTACTTTTACTGCTGCTTCTTCTTCTTTTACTTTTTTTCTTCTTCTTAAAATCTGTTTCTTTATTATGGACTGTGGAATGAGATTCACACTGTGGAAGAGATTGGAGTATAATATTCTCATAGACAGTCCTGGGGAGACTGTAACCAACCTTTGCTATGAAGGTAGTGCACCATTGTTTACATGCTACCTCTTACATACTTGAACTACTGCTGGTTGTTGGTCCATACCTGGACTTAAGTCTCAGAACCTGAGTGTTGTGTGCATATCCATTTTACAGATTTGACTTATTTGTATGCAGATGGTTTGTTCCTTGCCTCTCAGGCAGATGCACTCTGATTTTGAAGGAAGCTCTCAGGTAATCAACTCTTACGACACACTTGTTAGGGAGGCTGTGGGTCTATTCCTGTTTTCCCCACGATGGGGCCCCCAAAGACCGCATGGTTAATATAATAAGTAAAGTGGTAAACTATGTCAAGTCATAACAGAACAAATGGTTTGGACATGTGCCTGCCACCAAAAAGACACCACAGAGAACTCTTTCACTTTGAAAAAATGGAAGCAGAAACAGAGATGGATCTTTCAAACGATGGATAAATGGAATATCTGAATACTAGAATCAACGTAGTGCATACAAAGTGCACCCTAATGCTTCTTTAAAAACCTGACACTGAAAGGCAGAACAGTATCAGAGAAGAAGCAGAAGTAAAAGAAGAAGAAGATGATGATGAAGAAGAAGATGATGATGACGGTGATAATGAAGAAGAAGAAGAAGAAGAAAAAGAAGAAGGGAATGATGATGAAGAAGAACAATAAGATAAAAAAGAAGAAGAGGAAGAAGAAGAAGATGATGGTGGTGATAATGAAGAAGAAGAAGAAGAAGAAGAAGAAGAAAAAGAAGAAGAAAATGATGATGAAGAAGAACAATAAGATAAAAAAGAAGATGAAGAAGGAGAAGAAGAAGATGATGATGATGGTGATAATGAAGAAGAAGAATAAGAAGAAAAAGAAGAAGAAAATGATGATGAAGAAGAACAATAAGATAAAAAATGCTTCTTTAAAAACCTGACACTGAAAGGCAGAACAGTATCAGAGAAGAAGCAGAAGTAAAAGAAGAAGAAGATGATGATGAAGAAGAAGAAGAAGAAGATGATGATGACGGTGATAATAAAGAAGAAGAAGAAGAAGAAAAAGAAGAAGGAAATGATGATGAAGAAGAACAATAAGATAAAAAAGAAGAAGAGGAAGAAGAAGAAGATGATGATGGTGATAATGAAGAAGAAGAAGAAGAAGAAGAAGAAGAAGAAGAAGAAGAAGAAGAAGAAGAAGAAGAAGAAGAAGAAGAAGAAGAAGAAGAAAATGATGATGAAGAAGAACAATAAGATAAAAAAGAAGAAGAAGAAGAAAAAGAAGAAGAAGAGTCAGGTGGAGGAGGACGAGGAGTAGTAGTAGTCACGCAGGTCGTATATAATTCTCATAATATGTTCTGGTATCCCTGTTAGGTTGTTTTTACATGCCAGCTCTGGATCAAATATTACAACGGCCCCTGCGCGATTTGAACACAAAACTTTTGGGTCGGCATAGAAAGGCCCCGCTTTTTTGTTGTTGCCTCCAGTGCCTTCTATCCGCAATTAGGGCATAGGCCCTCAACCAACTCACACCAAATCGTTCTATCTATCCTTCGCTATTGCATGCAGTCCTATCTGTGGCCTTCCTTTCTTTCTAATGTCAATCTCTAGCTCCCTTCTCCGTGAGTTTTTGGTCTTCCTTTATTTCTATACCCCTGTGGGTTCCAGTGCAAAGACATTCAATTTATGTTAGTCTCAGGTTTTATCAATGTGTTTTCTATCCAACCGATTTTGAAATTTGCCGAAGACTTTTTAGAACAGACTTTAACACCCCCGATCAGCTTGGGACCTCTAAAAATGGCTGTGTTGGCGGATATTATAGCACATTTATCAAATCAAGGCAGTGACGGTTGTACAATGACATAATCTCCCACTGTGGTCGCAAACTTACATCAAGGGAATTAAGTGCAGAGAGAATTGCGTTCTGATTGACCCGGCGCATCAAACGGGTCACCTCATTGCACTTTCCAGCGGCGGCTCTGCCAACAGAAATTGCTTTTGACAAGCACGAACGTTCTGCCAGTTGGAATTTGCGTCGCTTGTTCCACAGATGTTATATTCTCGTAAAAGAGAAGTAAGGATTATTATAGGAAACATTCTATTAATCGACTTTTTGTATGTGTGTGTTGTTGCAGTTTTCCTTTATAAAAAAAAGAAATCAATGGAAATATTTAGTTACCGCGGTAATTAATAAGATAAATCGCCAGTATAGTAATTAAGGTTTTTGTTTCTATGTTTCATCCCATGTCGGGGGTTAAGATTTCCTGGAGGAGTTTCCGGGAAAGTCCAGTTGTATAGGGGTGTTAGGGTTGAAAATGACCACCGAGTAACACTAACTCTAACCACTCCCTCCCACCTATAATTTTGGACTCCTCACGAAATCTCGGAGTCCCCGAGATGGAATTTAAAAAAAAAAAAAGAAACGTAATTAATCTGCGGTTATGGCGTAAGGCTAGATGCTTGCCCTCCGGGGCAAAGGTCTTGTGTTCGAACCCGCATAATGGCAGAATTATTTTCCAAATTAACCATGGCTAGCAGGTCGACCCAGCCGAAAATAGCACCAGGTAAAGTTCTGGGAAGTTAAGTCGGTCGCACGATGTTTACCACTTGTGTATGTGCTTAGTATTTATATTTTACGTATTGCTACTTGACCTTAGCATGCTTGCTGCAAAAAATACAACTGATGTGTGAAAGATGAGTGGTCGCAAGGCTCTAATATAAGACAGGCCTGCGTGACCAATATATAATCATTTTAAAAATCATTCTCTCTCTCTCTCTCTCTCTCTCTCTCTCTCTCTCTCTCTCTCTCTCTCTCTCTCTCTGTGTGTCTCTGTGTGATTGTGTGTGTGTTGTTGTGTGTATCTTCCCTTTACTCTCTTACAAATACTTTCTCTGCCCATCTTTCTCTCTGTCTCTCTCTCCTTCACTCTTACAAACAGTTTATCTAAGTCTGTTTTTCTTTTACCATCACAAACACTTTCTTTCAGTCCCTCCAACTCCCCCCCTCTCTCTCTCTCTCTCTTTCTCTCTCACTGTCACAAACACTTTATGTCAGTCTCAATCATTCACTCGCTCGCTCACTCACTCACTCAGCTACTCGATGACAGGCTCACTTTCTATCTGTCTCTATCTCTCCCTCTCACTTACTCTCACAGTTTATCTTGGCATCTCTCACTGAGTCACTCTCTTTCTTGGTCTCCTTCTCAACGCCCTACTGGCTCCTTCTCTCCCTGTGCGTACTCGGAATATTCTTGGAAGCCGTTTACAATTGTTTTGTGTAATAAAACAGCTAAATACAGCCAGATGACGTCTGCCCCAGTTTCTCGGTGTATTTTTAAACGCGCGCGCTGTTTACTAAATTTCACACACGCGCACGACCTGGACTTTATCTCCTTCCTTCCACCCGGGGCTGGTGCCAGTGTCTGTCAAAGAACTCGGCGCTCGGCAAGGGTGCTGAGGTTTGGGGAGCAGGATACTTTGAGTGAGGCTTCTTTCTCGACCCCCACATTGTTAGGTGGGGGGGGGGGGGCACTTAGCACATTTATAAAAGGGCTATTTAAGGCTTCCCCTCCCCCTCAATACCAGCATCAGTTAGCAACTCCTTTACACAAAGTCGCTCTCGTCATGGCACAATTGACAGTTTCTCTTTCTCTAGCCAGTTGCCCTTTCTCTAGCCAGTTGCCCTTTTTCTAGCCAATTGTCCTTTCTCTAGCCAGTTGATCTTTCTCTAGCCAGTTGATCTTTCTCTAGCCAGTTGCCCTTTCTCTAGCCAGATGATCTTTATCTAGCCAGTTGCCCAGCCCTGTGTGCTTTCATAGCCAGTGTATATTCAGTGTCTTGCAACCATCTTTATAGAAGTCTGCCTTGTTTTCTAGAAACTACCCTCCATCGTCATTCTCTGCAGGTCACCATGAAATGGTAATTATTGCCCGCAACCATGTATAGAAACTTTCATTCTCTGTTTTTGTTTAAAACTATAATATTATTTCACGTATGTTATCATATTCTTTTTATAATCAGTAAATTATTATTGAAGATTTGAAGGAGTTAAAAAGGGCGCCGAAAAACAATATAGAGACGAACGATGGAAAGTGACCTGAGTGCGGCATCTCTGACATGGAAAATGGCACTGAAGATTGCACAGGACAGGAAAGCATGGAAAGTCCTTTCTGAAGCCTCATGTGCCACAAGGCATAAAGAGAATTGATGATGATGATGATTTTTATTGAAGATTGGCTAATAAACAGCATCTTATGTTGGAAGCTGAAATAGTTTTGGCAATTTTAAGCGCTACGACGAATTGGGAAAAAAAAAAGGGGGGGGGGGGGTATGGAGAGGCAGAAGGCATGGTACCAGAAAGGAGGGGCAGGGGCCAACAAACGCACAGCAGCACAGATTGGCACAGAATACTCCTGATTCCTTGGACAGAATAAAAATGCCGCAGTCGGGAGAGCTGGCGAAAGACCAAATTGCTTTCAGGCGAACCGTGATGAGAGCGACGTTCTGTAAACGACCTGCTACATGGTGATGAGAGTAATAGTAGTAGTAGTAGTAGTAGTAGTAGTAGTAGTAGTAGTAGTAGTAGTAGTAGTAGTAGTAGTAGTAGTAGTAGTAGTAGGAAACAATGTAGAAGGATTATGCCTCCTGAGATCCTGATGATTCACCAACCTAGCAGATGTGTAAAAGTAAGTGACCTCCCTTCCCCTGCTCAACGACTGCCTGACGTTCAACCTGCACCGGGACCGCACGACGAGCAACAACAACAACAAAAAAAAACACCTAGTGACACAAAGTGCCACCATTGGGATGAGATTCACGCGAGCGCAATTCCCAGAAACCCCGTTCGACCCGTAGGTTGTATTTAAGGCCCCCGACGACAGCCGTTGTGGGGCTTTAAAATAACACAACAATTGCGTCCCCACACAGGGACAGGGCGAAGTGTGTATAACTCCCTT